CGGCTCCAAATCGCAAGAGGCGTTAATGTTAGCGAGCGTACGGTGAGAAGACGAATGGAGGAAGTGAATTTAAAAGCTCGTAGACCAGCACGAGGTCCAGAACTTCTCAGACAGCACCGAGTAGCCCGACTTCAGTTCGCAAGAGAACATGTCAATTGGACCCACGAGCAATGGGCTAGAGTGTTGTTCACAGATGAGTGTCGAATAGCTTTACGTGCTCCAGACGGTCGAGAACGAGTGTGGAGAAAAAAGAGGAGAGAGGTTTCTACCCATTACCACCACCCAAACTGTGAGTTTCCATGGAGGCTCAATAATGGTATGGGGAGGTGTAAGTTCCGACGCACGTACAGAGTTGGTCATCGTCGATAATCGGCTTACAGCTACTCGATACATCGAGGAAGTTCTTCAGGAGCACGTAATGCCTTATTCGGGATTCATTGGACACGACCAATTCCTCCTCATGCACGATAATGCACGCCCGCACGTCGCACATTGTGTAGAGGAATATCTGGAAGAGGTTGGAATACAAAAATTACAGTGGCGCAGCTCGTAGCCCGGACTTAAATCCAATTGAGCATGTATGGGGTATGCTCAAAAGAAAGATAAAGTCCAGCTCCAAACCGCCACAAACTCTAAATGAGCTCCGAAATGCAGCGCTGGCCGCCTGGGACAGCATACCGCAAGTTGATGTCAGAAACATCATTCAAAGCATGCCAGATCGAATGCAAGCGGTTATCAGGGCTAGAGGAGGAAACACCCGATATTAAAACCGATAGACAATAAAGAAACAGACTTAATTTTTAACTTTGTAGTGTTTTTAAAGTGAAAATGGAAAGATGTTAATTTTAGTGAAAACATGTTATCTTGAAAAGAAAAATTTCGGTGAAGTAAACATTAAATTTCTATGTTCTAAAACCATTAGAGACACTTATTGAATGCATCTACCCTTAATTTACTGTTAAAAAAACGTTTCAGTGCAAATAATCAGCAAATTCACGAGTGGCCAAGTTTCCGTGCCGGTGAGTGTATATTTAATTATACATATATCACAGATACCTCTGTTAGAAAGGTAACTCATTGTTTCTTCGGCATCTCCATAGTTGTTGATAACCGCCACATACTTAGACCGGCGTAATAATGCCTCTTTCATTGGGGGCCATTGCTCTCCAAAAACAGAACCATAAAATTCGTCGAAGTGATTTAAAGCTTTGTATTTTGGTCCAGTTTTCTTTTTCAATTTCGCCTACAAAATATACGTTTATAACTCATTTTTTATCAACGGAAAACCTAAGAAATGTGCATAACATTATAGTCTGTAAATTACCCAATGGGTTTTTGTTTTATGTCTCACTTGAAACACTTTACAAGGAATTGATAAAGTATTTCTATGTACTTTAATTATATTAAACATTTTGGTTACTAAGATGAACGAAAGCGAAGCGAAATAAAAATAAATATATATATATATATATTTTTAGGTTAAGTTTAGGTTTAGGACAAGATTATGTCAAAAATCAAAAGTGACAAGTGACAGAATCATTAATATAATACTTCTGTCAGTGTGACAGAATCAACTTGTCAAATTGTCAAAATTCCGTCAAATCCATGAAGGTTAGAGAACAGGAGAACGATCACTACGTACTAAAGCATAGCCCGTCTGTCCTTGAAAATTGTAGAATACACAGCGGCGCTGTCGTCGATGAGTAGGGACTGCGAAGTTAGCTGTTTATGAGTAAAAGTAGGTGAAGTTAGTTGAATATTGTACAAATTTTCATTACATTTTTTCATAGAAAATTTTTATGCTCTGTAATTTGTAATTTTTGACAAAACTCGGTGAAATCGTATGTTTTTCGTGCTTTGTTTAAAATAACAATTACTTGTCGAAAATAGTTCGTTTTCTCTACTACAATAAGCTCATAGCAAATTTTAGATAACTTATTTATTTATTTAGTAATAATTATTCTCTCGATGCATGTTTATGCCAAAACTCTCATACAAGATGTAGGAGCTCAACTTCGAGCTCCATTTCCGACCATCAAAAAATATTTTTATTTCACAAATATCATAAATATAGTGTTGAACATTTCTCATGTAAGTGAATTTTAATTCTTTTGAGAAATTAATATCTTAAACCACAATGCGTCACTAAACGTAAGAAAAGAAATATCCTATCTCTGGAGGTATAATAAAGTAAAGTTACAGTCTAAATACGTCCCACTGCTGGGCACAGGCCTTCCCTTATTTCTGAGAGGCTTTTAGGGCAAGGAAGTGTCCGCCGCAGTACCCCAATGCGTGTTGGCGAACTTCAATGTCTTTGAAATATTTTTTTCTTATTCCTCAGACATGCAGGTTTCCTCATGATGTTTTCCTTCGATTTTCTGATGATTCCTGATTCGACGATGATGTGCTTGATGGTAAATCAGCACTTAAAATTGCAAATAAAAATTTCATTGGTGCCGGCGGGGATCGAACCCGGATTACTCGCGTTTTGTTATATTTACAGCGAGTGTTAACCATCTGAGCTACCTACCACGGCTCTACAACGGAGATATAATAATGAAGAATAAAAATGTCTGCATATTTGCCCAGATATTATGCAGTAAAGTACTCAAAATCTACAAAGACGATTATTTTTGGATTTTGAATATATTATCCAAGTTACAAGCGTTTTATGAAAAGTGTCTGCCTGAAATTATCGACTCGAGATAAGCTCGGTCAATTCCTTTGTGGCAATTATTTTTATAATAAAAATATGGTAATTAACTGTAATACCGATGAAAAAATCTCAAATTTGGTTGTTTTACAGGTTGTAGCCGTACTATTTATTTATTTAAACCACTATACTACCGTTACCGTGTAATTTAGAGTCTAAACTACTCTACAGAACACTAACTACTATTGCACAGAAATTGTTCGTATTACGGTCGCAGTACAAAAGTGAGTGGTGTTTTGCAAGATGAACGGGCTGCAACGCAACAGAGTGAATACACTGGTTAAGCTAATCGTAATGGCTATTTTAGAAGAGGTGGATGAGGAAAGACGAATGTCCACACTTTAAAGCCACTTCGGTTATGGGTGCCCACATATAAAAGCATATGGAAATGGTAATACCTAGTTAAAAGAATGAAATGGTTAATGAATTGGTTTAAAAAACGGGATTTTAAAGATATTAAAGTAGTATTTTTAAGGTATAAAAGTGTTTATATTCACAAAAACAGTTTTACAACAATAATTTTACGGATTAAAACTACTTTATCTTGACTTTTACTTTTACTTTTTTTGTGTGATTAAGAAAAAGAAGTAATTGGTACGAATACGGATCGATAGAAGATGTTCTACATATTTGGAAACAAATTTTAAAGTTGTTTATTCGCTCCAGCGAAACGACCTAATGAACCGTCACTAATGAACTCGACTACTACCGGGTTCGGACTTGTTTAGCCGGTGAACCAGTGAGCACGAACGCGTGGTAAGAGGCGCTACTCGACCGATAAAAACATGAAATATATATACAAATAAATATGTATTCAAATTTAAACGATTTTTTTAATGATGATGAATGATGATGTTGACTCGTCTTAATCATTCACTAAACTACTTGACTAATTTTTTGTTGTTCGCACACATTTAGTTACTAGATTACTCGCTTCTCTGCTAAATTACTAGCTTAGTCCGAAGCTACTGCGGACTAGGCTAGTAATTAGGCTTAGGCCTCTGAATTCTAATCGGCGAGCGGCAAGGAAGAGCCATAACTTATTTAATATGCAGGTTACGGAGCAGCGTCTAAATGCAAGACGTGTTACTAATAATTACTTTATTTTAATCTACTATTCGCTTTAATTAATAAATAGATATCATTACATTTTAGCACAAAATCATAAGAACTTAAGTATTGTCTTTTTTAGATTATAATGAACGCATCAAAGTTTAAGTCAAAATGGTTTTTTTTGGCAGGCACTTAGCCGACGACGGACTACGCTCCTGTTTTGTCGATTGAATAATGGTTTGAAGTGGATTTTAATTCGTAAAAGTGGTGTGATTATATGAATTAATTGTCTGCACGTGTGAACTATTAGAGAAAACGACGAAACAAGCGCTTTGATGTCGATATAAACCTTAATTTATTTTGATCGCTTAGGCGCCTTATGAACTTGAGTGGGTGTCGTCATCAACTGTCCGCTGCAATGAGCCGCATCAGCATATTGTGAAGAAAAGAAAAAAAAGCGCGGGAACCTTGAAACTGGTCTGATAAATCTATATGGAAAGAAGACTTGGCTTTAGCCTTTGTGGTTTTTGAAAATATGAAGAATTAAAGAAAATAAGACTTGGCTTAGGCCTTTATGGATTTTGAAGAGATGGAAAGAAGAAAAATAAGACTTGGTTCCGGCCTACACTTCAAAATTATATATATTCAAATTAAAAAAAAGACAAGGCTGTATAGCTTAGTTTCTTTGCCTGCTCTCTCGAGCGAATAATAAAAACAACAACTTAAGTCAAAATGACAAATTAAACAGAGAAGGAAATATTGGTATTCGGTATTCTGTCTTGCACTTGCACCCCGCGAACACTGAATTAAGTATTGATTTGTTTACAAGGAGGAATCGGGAAAAATTTTCAGTTTTCATATACTATAGTTATGTCCGACAACCTTGTCAAAACGATTTGGAGATAATAATTTTAATTAATTGTTGGCTTTCGTGTTGGTGTTTATCAAAAGTCCGTACCTTAGCTGTAGACTTCGCCTATTAACTTTTCTAAGCCGAGCCTATTTACGTTGGGTTGTTTTATCGATTTCAAACTTAAGACCTGATACAACGATACGGTCTGCTAAAAATGTGTACCGTATGCGTGACTCCATATATACAATGTGCTCTGTGCGTGACTCTTTCCATGTTTAATTAACAATGGCAAGTGCTGAACAGTAAAATAACGCGTTATAAAAGATCAGTAGTCATGTATGGGATCTTGGATATTGGACTAAGGACGGATTATAAGGTGGAATGGCCAGTGGAAGGCTGCAATCGGCCCCACCGGGGACTGCGCATTTGGATACAGTGAGAGCTCTCCATCAAACTGTAGTATCTTTGAGGACTGCATTAGAGATATCTAAGAATGAATTAAAAGAGCTAAAAGAAAAGTATGAACAACACTCTAACTGTTTAGAGTATGCAGATGTCATAGAAAAATTAACCGTTGAAAATCATATTTTAAGACGGAAAATAATAGACTCTGGCTTAGAAGATAGAGAGTCTTCTCCAAATATAAAATTTCAAGTTACATACAGTCCAAGAAAAAATGAAGACAGTTACGCTGACAGTGAAGTGAGAGCTAAACCAGTTACACCAGACTTAAATAGTGCAGTGTTAGAAGAAGAAAAATTAACAGAAGTGGATGAATTTGATAATGTTTGTTCTACAGAAAAGTTGGAAAAAATTCAAGAGGCTAACTTCAATAAAATTCCTAATGTAGAATCATCACATACTCAGTCAGAGATATCACAAATAGATCCAAACAGTCAAGTAACAGTAACAGAACAAGATAAAAGTTGTCATTTGCCAAGTTTTAAAACTAAATTTGAGTTACTGTCTAAATTTGATGTTAAAATAAAAGTGAGGTCTGTGAAAGAAGGAAGTGTGATATCAAGTAGTACTTCTGACACTGATTCTACTGGTGAACAAAGGAAAGATAAAGACAGGCCAAGAAAAGAGTCATGTGACTCGCCAGCTACTTTTCATTTTGAAGAGAAAAAAGAGCATTTTGATAAGATTGTAGATTTGGAAGAAAATAAAATAAACTTTAAAACATTTACAACAGAAAACATAACAATGGCCGTTCCCAATGAAGCAGAAGTAAAGTCCAAAGTAGATAAATTTGATGTTCAAGTGAGAATTACATCTGAAGAGAACTTGGTTGTTAAAGAATGTACTGACCGTATTAGAAGAAAAGATACACTCAATTTGGATGTTGATGATTTGAGTCTTAGGTAATTTTATACTTTTTGCTTATCTCACACACCTTCATTTATCTGTGCTGTAAATATTGTTATAATTTTTTTTCAAATGCTTATAATCAAAGTCATAATGAACATAAATAAATTTAAAAATGTTCGTGATTTACCACATGTTTGGCAGTGAAAGAAAACAGTGAGAAAACCTGCATGTCTGAGAAATAAAAGATAAAAGCTATTTCGAAGACATGTGAGCACTTTGCACAGGTGATTTCTGGATTTTGACAACCGCCACTTATTGAGTCTGATTGTGAATCTAAACCTTTCTCGAATCAACTTAATCATACACACACACACATTATTTCATCAAAATTGGTCCAGCCGTTTAGAAGGAGTTTAGTCACATACACACAGATAGAAGAATTTTATTAAATTAATTATTAAATATTAGTCTAACAAAGGGAGTAATATCAAATAGTCACTATTATTTTTTAAATGAACAGCCTTTTGCTGAATGATTTTCTAGGAATGTATCAACTGGCAAGGATTACAATATTATATATAAGATTTTTTTTATCTCCATATAGCCTATATTAGACAGGTGTGTCAGTGAAGCAGACCCTCCTTTTGCACAAAATAGTGAGCAGAACAGCTGGTCCCATTACCAATTTGTGAAATTTTCTGTTCCTCCGAGCCTCCTCTCCATCATCAAAGTGTGTTGTATGCACATGATTTTGATATTCGGAATAAAGTCTGTCATAATACACACCAAAAATATTGATTACAAATAATATGAAACATGATCACTTGTTTCATAAAAAATTTTGAAGTTCTTTCATTATACATATTGATTTTCAGATTGTTTATAACTTTAATTAACTATTGGGTAGTTGCACAAGTCCTTGTAGTATCCATACTTAATATTATAAATGTGAAAGTGTGTTTGTTTGTTTGTCCTTCTTTCATGTCACAAAGGAGCGTCGGCCTGGCATGATTTTTTGTATGGGGATAGTTCGGTGGCTGTAGAGTGACATAGGTTACTTTTATCTGCGGAAAAACATTTTATTCCCGTGGGAAAATAGAATATGTTGCAAAAGTTTGTCCTTCTTTCACGTCGCAATAGAGCGTCGGCATGACATGATTTTTTGTATGGGGATAGTTCGGTGGCTGTAGAGTGACATAGGTTACTTTTTTCCGCGGAAAAACATCTCATTCCCGTGGGAAAATCGAATATGTTGCACAAGTTTGTCCTTCTTTCACGTCGTAACAGAGCGTCGGCATGGCATGATTTTTTGTATGGGGATAGTTCGGTGGCTGTAAAGTGACATAGGCTACTTTTTTCAGCAAAAAAGGTATCTTTCCCGTGGGAAAATCGAATATGTTGCAAAATTAAATTCAGCTAGGTGGTGCCACCGTGATTCTACAAGACGGACGACGGTATGATGGACATACACAGAAGGTCAGAATATCTGGATTATTATGTCTTTTTATCAAAATTAAGATAAAAAATGTATGGATCTGTATCTTTCCACGCAAGACCGGGAAGAGAGCGATAAAAACATAAAATTCACTAGCTAATTTTCTTCAAACGTTTTGATGCATTGTAATTCACAGAATAGGCTATAACCTCGCAGACGATATTAAGTAATCCGTTGTTGCTCTGCCTACCCCGCAAGGGTTACAGGCGTGATTATAAGTATGGATCGGAAATACTATCACCACCTGTCACGTTTTCACCCTTAATTATTACTTAACTGTGGTAGAAGCAGTTCTTAGTAAGCCTTATTAATAAGCCTTAGTAATATTTATTGAACGGAAATGAATACAGTTCTTATATGTGGTTATGAATGAATCGGCATTACAATAAGAAAAATTGTGCAAAATTATAAGAAAAATATTTTTTGAGAGTTCTTATTAACTAACGTATACATAGTTTAAATTGATTCCGCTAGATGTCGTTACTAGGTTTTTAAAACGCGGTAAATGTTTCCTGACATGTACTTAACTCCCGCCGTTGAGCCGCGCGTCAACTTATATTGCATACGGTACCTATACGCTTAAATTGTTTCTATTTCGTAGCTTATTCGACTACCTGCTTTCGATTTCGGTTGTTTGTTATTTGCTTTGTGATTTGGTTAAGGTTGAATGGATTTATATTGGCTTTCATTTTCGGATTTGTGTATTTTCTTGTATTAAAAAAATATTTAAAAGGAAATTTAATTTCTTTTAGGTATTTTAACGTTTTTTTATAAATAGGTTTTTTGTTACTTCATAATGCCTCGCAAACGTAAGTCCAGCCTTTCAAGAGTATCTTCTCAAAGACAAGCGAAAAGATTAGCTCGATCGCTAGAATCTTTAGAAGATGCTGAACTGAGAAGGCAATGAAAAGCAGAGCGTCAGGCTGCTTTTAGAGCATCTGAGACACCTTCTCAACGTCAGCAAAGGCGTCTAGAACAGACAGAGCAACCTCCAGTCAGGAAAGGCTCACACAACGTCAAGCTACTTTAAGAGCTTCTGAAACACCTTCTCAAAGTCAGCGAAGGCGTCTTGAACAGGCAGAGCGTCAAGCTACTTTAAGAGCTACTGAAAAACCTGCTCAAATTCAGCAAAGGCGTCTTGAACAGGCAGAGCGTCAATATACTAAACCCACCTCTCAATCACGAAGGCGTCTTGAACAGGCAGAGCGTCAAGCTACTTTAAGAGCTACTGAAACACCTGCTCAAATTCAGCAAAGGCTATTCGAACAAGCGGAACGTCAGGCCGCCTTAAGAGCCGCGGAAACACCTGATGAAACTCAACACAGACTCAAAGAAACAATTGGTCGGTTTTTAATGACGCAGCATTCAATTATGATCCGTTGATTGATTATAAAAATCACTGGTTAGTTGTTATCGGACTGATGAACAAGACGTGTCGATTTTGCAGCGCTTTAAAATGGAAAGATGAGACCGCAGGCATGTGCTGTTCCAATGGCAAAGTGTCTCTTCCGTTACTTGGGGAACCAGAAAACCTTTGAAAACTCTCTTTTTATATGATGCTAATGAGTCACGGCGCTTTTTAAACAGGATCCGGAAATATAACTCATGCTTTCAAATGACGTCCTTCGGAGTTGACCGGGAAATAATAATGCCGGGATTTTCGCCTACATTTACGGTGCAAGGGCAAATTTATCATAGAATAGGTTCACTTTTCCAGCTGAAAACGAACAGCATAAATTTTTACAAGTATATTTTATGGGTGACGAAGAAATTGAGGTAGACCGTCGCTGCCAATTTATCCAGGGAGTTGAGAGAGACACAGTGTTCAAAATTCAAAGATTCTTGCATGAACGTAACATTTTAGTCAAAACATTTGAAACTGCTTAAGAAAACCTACCTGAAGAGGATTATAAAGTCTTCATTCACGCAGATTGGACCTCTCGAGGAGAGCATTAAAGGCGCTACAATGCACCTTTGATAAACGAAATAGCAGCCGTAATTAGTGGTGATCAATTTTTTCACGAGACATTGTCTTGCGAGCACGTGATGATACGTTGAAACGGGTAGCCGATACACACAAGTTTTATGACGCGCTCTGCAGTACCCATTGATTTATTGCAAAGGACAAGAGGGTTATCATTTTCAAATTCCACTCGTTAACCCGGTCACAAAGGAGCCTACTCCGAACAAAAAAGTATCATGTATGGATTTTTATGCGTATCATATGATGTTGCGAGAAAATTATTTTAACCATCTTAGCCCGGTGTAGACAATTATTTCATCAATTTTTGGTAGACATGTATGTGAAGGTAGAAAGTGAACGTCTTCGTTATATACATTTAAATCAAAAAAGCTGCGCGTTGAGAATTATATACATTTACAAGATGCAGTTTCTAGGGACGCCAATGTAAACCCCAGAGATTTAGGTAAAATGGTAATTCTGCCCTCATCATTCGTTAACAGTCCCCGCTACCTACATGAGTACACACAAGACGCATTCGCCTGTGTACGAACTTGCAGAAGACCTGATCTTTTTGTTACTTTTACTTGCAATCCCACATGGAAAGAAATAACCGAGGAGCTAATACCGGGCCAAAAAAGTACTGACAGATACGATTTAGTTGCTAGAGTATTTAGATTAAAAGTACAAAAATTAATGTATGTAATTAACAAAGGGAAAATTTTCGGAGAGGTGCAGTGCTTCATGAATTCAATTGAATGGCAAAAAAGAGGTTTACCGCATGCCCACATTCTAATATGGCTTAAAGAGAAGTTGCGGCCCAGCCAAATAGACGACATAAAAGCGCGAGATTCCGGATCCTGAGCAAGATAAAGAATTGTATGATACCATCGTCCGAAATATGATTCACGGTCAATGTGGAGCACGAAATTCAATATCGCCATGTATGAAAGAAGGAAAATGTACAAAGAAATTCCCTAAACAGCTATTAAAAGAAACAGTGCATAATGACAATGGCTACCCTTTCTACAAACGCAGAGCTCCCGAAGATGGTGGCAGGAAAGTTATAATCAAATCTCGCTCTGGAGCGTTCGAAACCTTAGATAACAGCTGGATTGTCCCGTATTCGCCCATTCTATGTAAAATGTTTAATGCCCACATTTAATGTAGAAGCATGTAGCACTGTCCGCGCAATCAAGTATATCTGTAAGTACCTACATAAATAAAGGAAGCGACCAAGCAATATTTAATCTCAGGAGTGAAGGTGAGGCAAATCCCGTTAATGAAGTACAGACCTTTAAAGGAGGACGTTATGTCAGCAGTAACGAGGCAGGGTGGCGTCTCCTTGGCTTCCCTTTACAAGAAAGGCTAACAGTTACTCACCTAGCTGTGCACTTAAAAAATGGAGAGCGTGTATATTTCACCTAAAGAAATTTCCAAGAAAGAATTGCATCACCGCCAAAAACTACACTAACAGCCTTCTTTCAACTTTGTCAAACCGACACCTTTGCAAAAACGTTGTTATATTCTGAAGTCCCCCGCTATTATACTTGGAACACATCTAGGAAGGAGTGGAAACGCCGTATTCAAGGCGCGCC